TGGTTTGCCTCAGTCCAATAACAAATTAATTAGGACCTTTCTTTTATCGATAGAGACAATAAAGGTAGAAAATCATAGTCTCTTTAGGATTGGACTTTAAATAAAATGAGATGAGCCTCGCCGAATAAAAATGCAAAATTGTGGGGCCCTCAATAGATATTTGTATTAAAATACTTAGATTTCGGGACGGGCTGTTCAGCGAATTTCACGGCTTTCCCCAAAATAATAACGCGTTAGTATCTTTAGGCGCGTATTTTAATAACATTACCTCCCTAAACTCGGGTGCACATTTATGTGACCCAAATCCAAACCCCAACGATGTTAAAGTATGTCCAAAAACCACGGGTGCATTCATGTGACGTGGTTCAAGACTTGTTTTAATGGCATTGCAATTTTCTTTAAAAATGGATAAAAGCGGTTAAAGTTAAAATTTGCACATAGGTTCATAATTGTTAAAATCAGATAATTTAAGCCAAATATAGCAGTTGAGCGACCGTGCTAGAACCACGGAACTCGGGAATGCCTAACACCTTCTCCCGGGTTAACAGAATTCCTTACTCAGATTTCTGGTTCGCGGACTGTAATACAGAATTAATCTTTTCCTCGATTCGGGATTCAACCGGTGACTTGGGACACCATAAATCTCCCAAGTGGCGACTCTAAATCTTTAATAATAAATCCCGTTTCGATTGTCCTTTAATTGAAAAAACTCCCTTATGCCCTTGCGGGTGTAGGAAAAGAGGAGATGTGACACCTTTAAAACTGACTCGTGACCTTGCACATGCAAATCTCGATCCCACACAACACACCACATCTATCATGCCATCATATGAAAAATACGAAAATCTCATAATCCACTCCGAGTCACAAGAAAACTACATTCTCAATTAGCTAGGAACCTTCCTTTTGATCTTATCCCGGAGAAAATCACAATATGCAACATGTTCCTCATGCTAGCAGGAAATATCCACATCGAACCATGATAGAAATCATCGAGAACTCTTTGGAATCTATTTTCACATAGCCAAATCATCATAACCGAATCTCTATAACTCCACTAAGCCACGCGTGTCTCCAAAACCCAAGAGCATTGCCACGAAACACCTGTAGAGACTCACCATATTGTAAGAACCAAAAGAGCCAATCATATCCATTACCGTGCTGATCCAACCTACTACCAAGCTATCCTAATTCTCCGAGTTCCTCCGAATTACCCTCAAGTTGACACTTCTCCTTGTCGGAACACCACGATTCTTACCCAAAGCTCACCACACAAGAGATCCTAACATAAAACCACACCGCCCTAAGACCCATAAGCCGTTGAATTCTCTCTTAAGCACCCCAAAGCACCACAACCGATACACCTACTCTGAAGAGACCTTATGTGAACCTAAAACTGTTTCCTTCACCTCCTTGATACTAAAGTGTATAATCCACAATGATATAGAAACGCCACAAGTCTCGACACCATCCAACTTAAATCTTAAATTCTAACCATATACATATCCGATAAATTCTCAATTACTACATATAAATCTTGAATCCATTAGAACCTTCCTGAGAGTCCCCCACTATGCTCAAATCTCAACTGCACCACCAAAACGGTCGAACGGCCTATGCCCCCATTAGCACAATAACACCAAAGAAGTAACCCATACCTCTAAGAAACCGAGTGAATCCCTACTCCATGCACACTACATCTGTCACGAATAACAAACTAAAATCATCCTGTGATTTCCATATAACCATAAAGTGTAATACAAGCCATATACAGAAATTCCCTTACTTGAGTCATCCTCGATCTCAACCTCTGCAGGTCATAACTGATTCATAAGTATACCTCAAACCGAAACCAATACAACACATAACCATGCAATCAAATAGTCGATAGCAGACTCCCCCATTTGGCCTAAAGCCATAGATCAAAACATAAAATAACTCACAATGCCTATAATCTATTACTTCCATAATATTGTAGTGAGATTCAACTAAATCCTTCATGAGCTCCTATAATTCAAACCACCTAATACTTCAAAATATCTATAAATCTCGCATTCACCCTTGTAACAGTCAAGCCAACTTCCATAAGCGATCCAAACTCAAATTACAACACATATAATTCACTGGTAAAAGAGAACTCTCTACAAAACAACATAGGGATCACACAACCTCAAGACAACCCGCAGGAGATAACCCACCTACTTAGCCTCGAACTGACATCTCTTTATACCCTTTCACAGCCACAACTACTACGCAATCACTTAATCATCCTGAGTCTAAACTCATCAATAAGGCATGAGAACCTAATTCATTCCATAGTTAAACAACACGAAAGATCCTCCAATACACCTATAACTCGAGAGTATACCTTACATCAAGATAGAAATCAAGCACCCAATAGTACTTTTTACATCACAAGCAAACTCTTCTCGTCACATTCAATCTATCAGAACATATCCTGTATCCACATCATACTCATCATATAGCCATCCGACCACTCATCTAGTCACAAATACCACTCATAGGGATGCTACCAGACATATAAGTCCAAAAGCACGTGCTCACACAACCGAAATCTCGTGCTTAAGCTACCATAAAAAACCAGGCCTCAAGTCCTCCAGACAGGCCCTTCATCAGCACATAAAAATCACATCTCGTACCTCATCCATGGAATCACAAGCCGTCGATGCAAGGATAATACCAAGCACTCACATGCGCATACGAATGTGTGGAAGGAATTCAAAGAGTTACGTTTCAAGTTGAATCAATGTTGCACGATAAGGGAAGAAAGATGGGAAGTTTATTCTAAATGCCTTGTAGCCTCTCAAAGATAGGCATGAACATCATCATACCAATCTGCAAGATTCTACTAAACACTTGCTCATGACTCGTAGAACTTATGAACCTAGAGCTCTAATACCAACTTGTCACGACCCAAAATCCAACTAGTCATAATGGCACCTAACCCAACCCGCTAGGTAAGACAATTAACCTCTATCCAATTCCAATAAAATTCAATAAGATAATTAAGTAAAAGAAAATATCTCAATCTTATACATTTCCCCAAGGACTGGTAATACAAATCATGAGCTTCTGAGATTAGAATTTAAAGTGTTGGTGTGAAATAAAAATACATCATCTATCCGAATAATACATAAAAAGATTTTTCATAAGTCTAGAGCTACCATGAAAAAGAGGCAACTATAATCGGAATGCAGGTACATCTTCAAATCCAGCTCCTGTCGATCACAGCAATGTCAGTAGTCAACATCTGCATGCAAGGTGTAGAAGTGTAATATGAGTACAACCGACCCCATGTAATCAATAAATAAAAAAACCTAACCTTATTTTGAAAGTAGTGACGAGCTGGAACATAGGTCCGAGTCTAACACCAATAGCCAACAACAGCTCATAACAACATAATGAAAGTAATAAAAGAAATAGCTTAGAGGTAAAATGCTCAACTCATTCACAGTTCCAGAAAATAGGCCTGTTTTTCAAGTATATTAGTGAAAACCCAAATCTTTTACCGAAATCGCCAAAAATATGAGTAAGTTTGAAAACTAAAAAATTTCACAAAAATTTTTCAACAGGTAAATGTTTCATTTTCAGATGGCATGAGGAAAGTACATATCTATGCCTATATGTTAGTATGTGTGAGAAGTCATGAATGACGTGATACCTTACAACATGAGAAAAATGCATCTCTATGCATGTATGTCATGTGTGCATGACAATGCAATGTATCTCAGAGATGAACTCATGCACTCACACTCCTAGAGTACTCAATCTCACAGTCTCATACTTTTCACTCATCATGCTAAATCACTTGACATGCTCAGTCACTCAGTACTGTATATGGCCAATCCAGCCTAGGGAAGATCCATCCCAAATATATATATAGCAATTGCCAGTCAGTCACTCAGTACTGTATAAGGCCAATCCAGCTCGGGGAAGATCCATCCCTAAATATAAATGCTTCAGGCAAGATCCATGCCCAGGGAAGATCCATCCCTCAATATAAATCGACCGTACTTACTGGGGGTATGTATAGACTCCGAAAGGGCTCCTTCAGCCCAAGCGCCATAATAAGCCAGATCCAGGCATAAATCAATATAACATGCTGCGGCGTGCTGCCTAATTCCATAATATCACTCACACTCAGTCCCTAATACTCACTCAGTGATGAAAATGCTAGACATACCAAAGTATGATGAGACTCTGGACCCTCAGTAGCACATCACGACTTAAACAATGACAGTGAAAGGAAATGATTTGGCTCAACATGAGATTGAGTCGGTCTTGCTGAAGAAATTTGGGGAAACCCTCACAAAATGGGCCTTGACATGGTATTCACTCCTACCATAACACTTGATCGATTTCTTTTAGATGCTCACAGATTCTTTCACCAAGGCCCACGTTGGGGCTAGGAAGGTCCAGGCCCGGAAAGAGGACATATTCAGAATTTTACAAGGAGAGTCGGAGTTGTTGCTTGAGTTCGTGATCAGGTTCCTGAAAGAGAGGATGTTATTATTGGTCGTGCCAGATGAATGGCAGTTAAGGCATTTACTAAAGGGTCGAAACCGAGGAGATTTGACGCCTCCTAGAAGCTGAAAGAAATCTTGATTGAGTTCCAAGCAACCACATGGGCGGTTATCCATAAACATTATGAATCAAATATAAGGATAGAAGATGATCAGCTCGGGTTCCCAGCATCAACTAAGGGTCAGGATCGAGAAAAGAACAAGGATAAATCAAAAGTTAATTTTTATATAGATTAACGATCTTCTAAGGTCCGATTTTTGCCCTACAAAAGGGCCTAAGGACGCGGTAGCAAAGGGTGTCGGTCAGTAGATAGGTTGTTCCCCGATAGAAGAATTGACCGCAATCAGAACAATATTTCATTGTAGGACAAAGATGTATCGGGTTCCCAGGATTCCACTTATTCCAGGCTGTCATAATATAATGTCAATGTTAGTGTAGTGGGGCTGGTGTGGGCAATGAGAAACATCAAGGAAGCACGGTTCTTGAGCTTAATGGGATCCGATTCCAGCCAGAGGGATCCTAATTTATGGTATAAACACCATGGGACTAATGGCCACCGAACTGGGGGCTGTCGACATTTGCGCAAGGAGGTGGCAACGTTGCTGAAGAACAACCATCTCAAGGAATTCTTAAGTGACCAGACTAAGAATAATTATGCCCACAACCGAGACAATGTAGAATCCTCAAAGACAGGGGAAGACCCTCCTCGACTAACTATCAACATGATTTGAGGGGGGGGACAAGATCAACATTGTAACTTTCTTGGCAGCTAAGAAAACAAAGGTATTAGTGACTCATAGCAAGAGTCTCCAGGAAGTCACCGAGGATGACATCACCTTCACAGAAGAAGACGCTGATGTACTTCTTCTTCCGCACAACGATGCCCTGGTAATCTCTCTTAACATTTTAGATTTCAAGATTAAATGTGTTTTGGTTGACCCAGGAAGTTCATCCAAGATCATTCAATGGAGAGTGTTGGAACAAGCCAAGTTAACCGGAAGCATCATCCCGACAACAAAACTCCTCGCTGGACTCAACTTGGCAAGTGTTACGACTCGGGGGGAGATCTTGCTGCCTACGAATGCCGAAGGGGTCTCGAAGACCACCTTATTTGAAGTGGTGGACGTTGACATGGGCTACAACATAATTCTCGTCAGACCATGGTTACATGAAAGTTGTGCCATCAACTTATCACCAAATGTTGAAATTCCCGACTCCAAAGGGGATCAAACAAGAGGAGATCAACCGGCAGCAAGGGAAATGAACGCGAAATCGGCTTCCATTAGTAAAGGGAAGGAACTAAACGCATAGCAATTACAAAAATCGACGCCTGCTCCCCAATCGAATGAAGATGACAAAGGGATGGAGTCATCGGAATCCTACTAGGTACCAAGATATTTTCACGTACCAGAAGAAATGGATGCAAACATTTCCACGGTAGAAGAACTCGAACAAGTGGCTTTGTTCTAAATATTTCTAGAGAGGAAATTTCACTTGGGGACATAACTAAACCCCGAGCTCAGGTCAGGATTTATTGATTTTCTTCAAAATAATGTTGATTTTCTTGCATAGTCGCACGTGGATATGATAGGTATCCCACTAGAGGTGGTCGTGCACAAACTAAACCTGGACCCAAGAGTCCCGCCGATGAGGAAAAAGAAGCGGCCGATAGCCGAGGTCAAAAACAAGTTTGTCAAAGAAGAGGTAACTTGATTACTTGACATCAGTTCAATCCGAGAGGTAAAGTATACCAACTGGCTAGCTAATGTAACAGTAGTTTTAAAGAAGAATTAATAAATTTTGAATGTGTGTAGATTATAAGGACTTGAATAAGGAGTGCCCGAAAGACTCGTTCCCATGGCCAAACATCGATCAAATGAACGATGCCACGGCCGGGCACGAGTTAATGAGCTTCCTTCATGCCTATTCCAGGTATAATAATATTAAGATGAACTCGGAGGATCAGGTAAAAACTTCTTTAATCACGAACTTTGGCATATATTGTTACAATATGATGCCCTTCGAGCTTAAAAACGTTGAAGCCACTTATCAGAGGCTCATGAACAAGATGTTCAAAAAACAAATAGGTAAAAATATGGAAGTGTACATAGATGATATCCTGGTCAAGTCTTTGAATGTATGTGACCATTTAAAATAGCTCCAGGAAACATTCGATATCCTCAGGAAGCACAATATGAAGCTCAACCCCGAGAAATGCGCGCTTAGAGTTAGCTCCGAAACATTCTTGGGTTTTTTGGTGTCACAAAGAGGTATCGAAATCAATCCCAATAAGATCAAAGCCATCGAGGACATCCCAAACCAGCTGGCAAGCATAAAAGAAGTCCAAAGGCTAACCAGAAGATTGGCCGCTCTGAGCAAGTTCATTTCCCGATCTTCGAAAAAATGTCATTACTTCTGAAGAAGAAGAAAAACTTCGAATGGACTCCAGAATACCAGCAGGCCTTAAAACTGAAGATGAGTGCAGTATGGAAGGGACATCCCTTATGTGTTAGAGTTCCCTAAGGGTCTCAAAGGACCCCGGGCAGTGCTCACACCCAAGTTGCATAATCAGATAGAGATGATTGCAGTATGGAAGGGACAGCCCTTATGTGTCCAAGTTCAAAGGGAGCTCATGAGTCCCAAAGCAAAGCTCACAAGAGAGGGGCAGAACTTAAGTTTAAGAAGATAGTGAAAGTGCAGGAATAGAGTTTTACAACTGAAGGGATAAAGGGTGATAGGGAGACAGTAACTAGTAACACACAGATTTAATAACTTCATACAAAGGGGGTCAGGGGTTGGAAATACATTGCAAGGAGCCCATGTACTTAGGCATGGATCACCTTTGGGCATGCACAACAATAGAAGGTGCTGACATGTCTATAAAACAATCAGAACACATAACATCTTGAGGGGACATGGAGATTATGATCCCAGGGGGGATCAGGTTTGGGTCATGCACATCAATGTCCCATGTTGTCATTCCCCAAACCAACCACATATACTAAACACATTGGGGATGGGGATTTCAGGATTCACTAGTCATAATAAGGAAAGGACAGAAGCATTAACTCAGAACAGGAAGGGGCAGATTACATCATGTTTAATAATGGAACTTTGGTTAAATACAAACAGGAGACAAATAAGGATGAAGGAGACATTAAAGAAACATGATGTTGTTGATGCAGAACCTTAATTAAAACATACCAGTAAAGATGCAAGTGCAGAGAAAAATAAGCAAGCTTCCCACAGCCTAGCCTCGGCTTTCAGCCGGCTAGGGAAGGTAGCAATACAAGTAGGAACAAATAAAAAAGATAGATTTTAGTGGGGTGTGTGTTTGAACTCAAGTGTTTTTATGCCTTGTGTTCGTGTGTTTGAAAGAAGAGAAGATGGGTATTTATAGTTTTTGAAAACATGTAAGGAACAAGGCAATAAATAAAGATTAATAGACATATGGAAGTAATCAGCAATCAGAACCAATCAACCAAGTGATTCCCCTTTAATTGAGGAATCACTTTTCTTAACGGGGCTAACAGGTTTAAAAGAAGGAAAGAAAATCAGTTTGTAGGTCGACTGGTTATTACCATAAAAAGAAGTAGTAAAATATTGAGTACACAATAGAGTCCAAGTACAGATATACACTCGTTTTGGGGAAAAGATTCAGCAAGGCAATAAGTAAGAAAAGGGATCAATCACTTTAACAGGCGAGTAAAATTAGAGTTCACAAAAAGAGAAGTTTTGAAATCAATCCCAAAATTGAGTATCAATCAAAGAAGGGGCCTCAGCATATAATAGAGTGCACAAACGATGGACATGCAAGGCCAAACTATTGGCAAAAGAAACAGCATGCAATAGTAGCACAAAGTTAGTAGATAGCAAACAATCGAAGCATGATAGTCACGTAGATCGAGTTTCATTGAATCAGTAGTAAAAAGAAAAAAAAGATAGAGTATCAGAAGCATGCAAAGGGTCAAGTGAGAAAACCCTTCTGAAAAGCATAGTTGAGTTTCAAAGATAGTAAGAACCCAGAATCAAAGGAATCACATAAAGAAAAGAGATGCTGAAACAAGGAACTTCAAATCAAGTCAGGTATTGTGAGAGGCGGAGAAGATGAAGAGTCCCCTCTTTTTTGAAAGCAAAATTAAACAAGCTTCGAGAAGGTGTTTAAAACTCATAGAAAGCATGGATCTAAAGTGAACCTGAAAGAAGTCGAAAAGCTCTTAGAGATTAGGGTTTCAGAAAACCCCAAGTGACGAGAAAGGCCTTGAAAGCCATCGATCTAAATAGCAGAGTCAAAGGTCTGACTCAAATGGCCATGGTTGGCCGGAGAAAGGTCAGAGACGACTGGAAAACAGTCATCGAGCAAAGACTAGACCAAACCCCTTCAGAATCTGGTCATGAGACCACAGAAACGAACACGTAAAAGTCGTGAGAGACTGATACAGATCTTAGATGATCCTAGAGAGCCATGGATTAGGGCGGATTAGGGTGGCAGCGGCTAGGGTTTGAAGGTGTTGTAGAGAGGATTTGGGATAGGAGGGGTTTCAGAGGCGGCGTATTGTGAGAAATGAATTAGGGTGAAGGGGTCGTTTGGGTTAAAAAAGGAAGGGAGTAATGAGAGTCGTTGATCTAAACGATCAACGCTGGGATTAGATGGGAGTCCGGGTGGGTCATTTAAATGGTTAAAGGGTCGGATTTGAAGGGAATTGGGTCGGGGTAAAATTAGGTTCCAATTGGGGGTTCAAATTAGGCTGTAATTGAAAGGTAATTGGGCTAGTTTTTAAATAGCCAATTTTCCCCATTTATTTTATAAAAAATAGCAAATTAAATTCTTAAAATAAATTAAAAGCAATAAAATGATTTATAACATATAATTATCAATTTAAAAATACTATACTTAATTTTTATAAATATAAACGCAATTAAATCTTAAAAGGGGCGAATATAACAATTATATGCAATTTAGCTTTAAGAATACTAAATAAATTTGTAAAAATATGCAAAAAATATACTAGCTATATTTTAGTACATATATGAGAATACAATAAATGAATCACCAAAAGGATATTTTTGGGAATTATTATTGGATTTTTATGAATAAAATAGGGGAATAAATTAGTTTAAAAAATCTTTAAAAATTAAGGAAAAATAATAAAACATTTGGACATACTTATATATGCATACATATGCTATTTTGAAAGTATTTTGCATATTAAAAATATATAGAAAAAAATTGGGTATCAACATCTGCCCCTCTTTACCCGGGAAGGATGAAAGAGTGGTCGGTAAAGATATGATGGCCAATTTTGACCAAGCAAAATGGTTCGAAGAGGTTTAGGTCATTCCATGGCTTTTGAGCTACCTACATATCTCTGGTTTTACAGGAACCAGGCCATATATAGTTCAGGATCCGTCGGCGGAGTATGCCGATGGAAACTTTCCAAGAACGGACGTAACATCCAGGACGGGGTGAGTGGGCGACTTGTGAGAATGGTTAAGGTTTTATATGGCTGCGGGAATTGGAGTGGGCTTGCCCCTTGCAGGATGGCCATTGCTCGTCGGTGTACTTGCAATTAGAAACAATACAAGTGTACACTGTGCATAAATTTAAACATGATGCAAATTCCCGTCGGACCATGAATGTTGTCTTCGGACGATTAGGATGGCGTCCTTTAGACCATGACGTGCTAGGATATGAAGCGTATAATAAAGGATTCGCAGGCCATGGAATGATGCTTTTGGGCTATGAGGATGGTGCCTCCGAACCATGATATCTTTGAATAATGATATGCAAAAGATTAAGAGGGATCCTCAGGCCATGACATGGTGTTCTTGGGCTATGAAGATGGTGCCTCCGAACGATGATGCCTTTGGACAATTTGGCGATCTTTCAGCCCATGAGAATGTAGTATGTGGCGATCTTTCAGCCCATGAGATGCAGTATGAGGTGATCTTTCAGCCATGAAGATGTAGTGTGTGGCGATCTTTCAACCATGCAGATGCAGATGGAGGTAGAGTTTAACCTCGGAAGGTAGAATGGTAGCCTTATTCAATGCAGATGGAGACAACGTTTAGTCTCGGAAGGCAGAATGGTAGCATTATGCAATGCAAAAATGTAGATGGAGACAACGTTTAGTCTCGGAAGGCAGAATAGTAGCCTTATGCAATGCAGAAATACAGATGGAGACAACGTTTAGTCTCGGAAGGAAGAATAGTAGCCTTATGCAATGCAGAAATGCAGATGGAGATAGTGGTTAGTCTCGGAAGACAGAATAGTAGACTTATCCAATGCATAAATGCAGATGGAGACAGCT